TATATATATATAGCATAGGGTATTTATAGTTGAAAAGGGAAAAAGTGTAATTATAAAAAATTTGGGATTAAGACAAAGTTGGAGGGGTTAAATGACTATTTTATAAATAGCCAATGGCTATATTTTATTTTATTTTAAATTTTTGTTTTTTTTTTAAAAAATAAAAATAAATTAGCCGTTGGGACCGTTTGGCCCGCTAAGGGACCGGGCCGGTCCCAGACCCTGGCGGGCTAACGGTCCCGGGCCTGACGAGCTCAGATCATAGGACCGACCCACGAGACTGGCCCAGAACCGCTAAAATCGGGCCAAACAGTCCTGGCCCGTTTAGCCCGTTTGGCCCGTTTGGCCCGCGGTCCCGGGCCTGGACCGGCCCACTTGCCACCCTTACCCACTGGTCTTCTGTATTTTTGACAAGTCTGTTAATGACCTAGCCTAATTTCTTTTAAATTTGAACCAAACTAACTAGGACAGTATTTAAACACTAACAAAATATATGGGAAATTTACAACAAAAATAAAAAATAAGTTAACTCATAAACTAATTAGCTAACACAAAATCGAACTAACAGAAGAATACTCTTAACTTCTAATGCTATTTGATCAATAATTAAAACATGCGATTATTCACCTATGAATTACAAACACTGACAACACATAAAAAAAGAAAAAACGTAGAAGAAAAGGAGGGAAGAGTATACCTATTGGATTAAACCGAGCTGTCAAGAGGAAATTCCGATGAGCCGGAGGATTGCTACACAAGCACCAACCAAAATTTGTCATGCCGGCCAGTGCTATATGTAGCAATAGCTCCTGCATGCTGGAGGTGATGAACGAAGAAGCTTTGAGAGGACTGGCAGGTCTACCAGAATTTGATCGGGCCCCGATGGCCACGAAATGAGACGAAACCACCACCAATCGACAATACTCATCAAGAGATGTCGATTAGTGTGAATTTTAACCTTAGACAAGTAAGAATTGAAGAGGAATCAAGAAAGGGGCAATTTCAGTTTTTCTTAAATTCTCAGGTCTACTAATCGTGGAGTTTGGGTGGATTTTTGCGAAAATGGTTGAGAAATTAGGGACGAGGAGGAGTGAGGAGTATCTGGTGAAAATTTTAGCCAATTGGCAGTGGTCCGCCGCCGTGACAATTTTCGGCGGCGGTTAGACGGTGGTCCACCGTGGCGTGAAGGCGGAAGGAGGACAGTGGGCGGCGAAAGCAATTTTCGGCCGCCCAAGAGAGATGAGAGAGGATGGGGATTAGGGGTGGTGTATAAATATTGAATTTTTATCAATCATTTTTATTATAAAGGGGAAAACAGTGAAATGACATAGTTATGTTGCGAGACTACTCTATTTAGATGGTGTGATGGCAAGATTGTTTGGACTGGGTATTGGATTGGACTGGACGGGTATTCTTAGTAAAACTGGGCCCAAAATCGTGGCCCAGTCTCATTTTGAGCTTAGTAGCCTTATCCTCCCTTCTTCTTCATTTTACAATTAGCCACTAATCAACTGACATACCATTTGCAAAATTATCCTACTAACTGATTCTATCTAATGACTTACTATAAAAATTATAAATTATCCTACTAATTATGTGAGTAAGTAGGTCCAAAAATGCAGAGTTATTAGCTAATATATTTTTATGATTTTGTGTTTAATGAAAACTGCAATTAGCAGGCATTTGGGTGCCAGCAATGCAATTAGAATCTGAAAATACGATGAATGAAATAAAAAGGTATTTTTGGTGATTTTCTATGATTTAACATGCTCTTAGTAATACAAATAATGCATACAAACTAACAAAGAAAAAATCTTTAAAGTTTCAAGAAAAATCAAAATAATTGATAATACTATTTTAGACCTTTTAGGAGCAATTTCAGGTGAGGCAAAAATTACGTGCTCACAGTAACCTGTACATGCAACCTAGTTCTTCCATATAATCAATCTGGTTTGTTAATGGTGTACCCTGTGTTGAAAAACACAACTAGGGATTGGTGTACCCTATACTGAAAAAGAGACTAGGGAGTGATGTACCCTATATTAGCAATGAGATCAGGGAATATTATACCCTACATTTAAGATCATTAACTAGGGAATGATGTACCCTATATTGGTAAAGAGACTAGGGAGTGGTGTACCCTATATAAGTAATGAGATCAGGGAATGGTGTACCCTGCATTTAAGATCATCAACTAGGGTGTGGTGTACCCTATGTTGAAAAATGTATCTAGGGATTGGTGTGCTCTATACTAGCATGATTTTGAATGCAGTTAAAATATGAGCGAAATGTGGGAAAGAATTTTAAGAAGACTTTCATTTTTTACGGGTTTTTGTGTTGTAGGGCTGTTTTCAATCTCCGCATGATTATTTTCGGTTGTACCTGCTTCTTTCAAGGTTGTCTTTGCATTGTACCTGTTTCCTGTTTCTCAACAAAGAACATTTTTTAGTTCAGAACGGTGGTTGGTTTTGTGGCCTTGAGTGCTTCGGACTTTTAATCTCGGCCCATCTTTTTTTGATGATGATTTCGACTATGGCCGGTTATTTTCGGATTACCAATTGCCTTCCTGGCCCTGGGGCACTTTTAGCTTTTCAAACCTTTATCGTGATGGTTAGTCGGGTGAGACTTAACCTTTTCAACTTTATTTTGCCTTTATGGGCATTTCAATTTGGCTTATTTCTTCCAAAGTTCTCAATTTCAAAGCATCTGCCAATCATGGCCAGTCGGGGTTGACTTGATGCCTTTGCCGAGGCTGGGTACCTTTTGAATATATCAGCTTACTTCAAACGAGAAACCTATAATCTGTCACGACCCAAAATCCCACTAGTCGTGATAGCACCTAACCCAACCCGTTAGGTAAGCCAATTTTTAACTATCCAATTCCAATAAAATTAATTAAAAGAAAATATTTAAAACTGATACATCTCCTCAAGAACTGGTAGTACAAATCATGAGCTTCTAAGAATAGAGTATACAAAGCGAAAATGAAATAAATACATAGTCTATTTGAATAATACATAAACAGAGCTTTTATAAATCTAAGGCTACCCTGAACAAGAGGCAGCTACAATAGAAACGCATGTACATCTTCAAGTCCCGCAACCAGCGAGCACAGCAACAACAACAGCCAACATCTACACGCAATGTGCAGAAGTATAGTATCAGTACAACCGACCCCATGTACTGAGTAAGTAATAAATCTAGCCGTAGGTTAAAAGTAGTGACGAGCTTCCACCAAGTCGGGTACAAAATCAATAGTCCACAACAATCCATAACAACATAAAGCAAATAATACCAGAGTAACTCAGAGACAAAATGCTCAGCCGAATCATGATTTCCAAATAGTAGTTCTTTCTTTTAAATACATCAGTGAAAACCCAAATCGTTTGCTGGAGTTTCCAATAATATAAATAGTTTGAAAACAATAAATTTCTCCCAAAATCTTGTCAATAATATATAAGATGTTTCATTTTCCTTCCGGATAACCCGTGTAAAATAAATGCATCACTATGCCCATCTGTCAAAAATGTGTGAGAAATCATGAATGATGTGATGTTGTACAGCATGAGAAAAAATACATCTCTATGCTTGTATGTCATGTGTGCATGCCAATGCGATGCAATTCATTGATAAAAATCATAAACAACCCCTCGGGCAGAACATCAATCATATACAGCCCCTCGGGCAGACGTCACAGTCACTCGTGCCACTCGAGCATACCTCACAATCACTCTTGCCACTCGGGCATACCTCACAATCACTCATGCCTCCCAGTCACTCATCACTCGGCACTCAGCACTCAACACTCGCACTCAGTAGGTACCTGCGCTCACTGGGGGTGTGTACAGACTCCGGAGGGGATCCTTCATCCCAAGCGCTATAATCTGCACGGACAACTCACGTGCCATCATATCAATACCTGGATCCGCACGGTCAACTCACGTGCTATGCGGACAACTCACGTGCTATGGTATAAATACCTGGACCCGCACGGTCAACTCACGTGCTATGGTATTAATATCCTCACAATCAGGCCCTCGGCCGATATCAAACATGCTGCGGCGTGTAGCCCGATCCCATAAATAT